ACCAGGAAGCTGACTGAGGGACTTTCTCTCGTTGGATCTTGTCTGGGACTACTAGCAGACAATGGAATCCAATCGTCTGAGGGCGTCTAAGTACAGACTGTATGAGAGACCCTAGAGCCTGAGTCTGTGGTCTGCTTCCACCCACCCTTCTGGTTCTTGAGAGTCAGCTGAGAGTGCAGGAAAAAAGGGGTACCGGCTGGTATCCTGAAGAGCTTTTGTCCATCCTATTTGTGCTATAGGGACTATGCTCAAGTCACTTAAAGAAGTTTGTGGCTTTCATTTGCTTCAACTAAGCCAATGAATTATTGGTCCTTGCAAGGACTGTACTTAAAGTGCTGAAAAAGAAGAAAGTTAGTGTCCTCATCTTGTACATAGTCCTTTTTTGGAGCAGGCCACTCATCCCCAATCCCTATTCAAGTTACCCCAAAAATAAAAACAAAAAAAAAAAACACCCCTGGACTGTTTACGGAGCCAGAAAGTGACTGTGTTTGTGTGCCTGGCTGTGGGGCCGAATATGGGAAAATACCCACGGATCTTTCTATTGCTGGGCCCCAGTGGAGGTACAACTTGATGGATTTCTATTAAAAGGTTACTCCACTTCTAAGAAAAGCCCTTTACTCTTTGTAAGTGAGGTGTTTCCTGTAAAGCAGGGGTGTCACTCAATTTAATTGTGGGCCTCATCAGCATTATGGTTGGCCTCAAAGGGCTGGTTTTATCTGTAAGTCTCGATGTCCAGAGCACCCCACCCCCCCATACATCAGTTGTCAAGTGCTCCCCCATTATCAGAATTCAACAGTCCCCCACCATTCCCTACATCACAGTGCACTCCCTTACCTTGTGCTGCTGCTGGGAAGAAGCTGGCGATGGAGCTGGGAACCATTCTGTGCAGAGTCTGGAGGAGAACCAGCAGAGGAGGGCTGGAGTCAGCTGCCAGAGTCTGCTGAATGCTAAGACCAGGGGAGGCAAAAACGAGGCGAGTACTGCAGCTACACAGAGGGGCAAAGGATCTGTAAGAGGAGTTCTGTCCTCCTCTCTGTTGCCAAATGCTGAGATGGGGGGGGGGCAGCAGACGCGCCTCTCTGTGGCTGCATGAAGAAGTGCAGGATGTGGCGGAGGAGTTCTGTCTTGCCTGCTGCTGACTACTGAGACAAGGTGGGGGGTGGAGATGAGTGGGGTCCCGCAGCTGCAGGAGAGGTGTGAGGGACACATGCCCACGGGCCTTGTGGTTGACACGTGCTGCAAAAGAAGCCATTACAAAGCATTAGCAATCTAGCATCAGGCTTCGGGTAGCAACAAATTCTTTAGAAAATCTGACACAACATGGAAATAACTCATACTGTTTCCACTGCAATACTTACATCCTATTGGCTGAGCATGGCAAGACGGGGGATTAATTCACCAATAACTCGTTGTGCTGTTATTTCAGTAACAAAAACACAGATCAGAAAGATATCATTAAAGGATTACAAGTTCAACAAGTCAGCTCAGCTATCTGAATATCTAATGTAAATAATGTAAGATATTTCCTACTTCAATTAAATGGGACTGGTAATTGCTACTTATTCATGTGAATGGACAATGCTAGAGGACAAATGGCTAATCACTAATCCTGTTTTATACAACAGAAAGAAGGCCCTGGACCAGGAGACTATAATCTGAAAGGTGTTCCTTCTCCGAGTATTTCCTCAAGTTTCAAATCAAGTGTGCCCAGGTTCCGCTCATCTGTTAATGTAAGTCCACAGAAGCAATATTTGATCTGGTGGTGGTTATATTTAGTTGTGTGATTTGGTTTGCGCTATTATTTGTGATTTGTATATTTTTCACATTTTTTTTTTATTATTATTTTGAGTTTTTTAATAATAGCAGCATCCAGTGAGTGTATTTCCTCTCTTTATTACCGTATTTGCCGGCGTATAAGACGGCCCCCTACTTTTCCTGCTAAAATGTAGTGTTTGGGCTATACTCGCCGTATAAGACTACCCCTCTTCCAATGCACACCAGTGGGAGGAATAGTGCCCCATCATTGGTGTCAGTGGGAGGAATAGTGCCCCCCATCATTGGTGTCAGTGGGAGGAATAGTGCCCCATCATTGGTATCAGTGTGAGGAATAGTGTCCCATCATTGGTATTAGTGGGAGGAATAGTGCCCATCATCATTGGTGTCAGTGGGAGGAATAGTGCCCCATCATTGGTATCAGTGGGAGGAATAGTGCCCCATCATTGGTATCAGTGGGAGGAATAGTGCCCCATCATTGGTATCAGTGGGGGGAATAGTGCCCCATCATTGGTATTAGTGGGAGGAATAGTGCCCCATCATTGGTATTAGTGGGAGGAATAGTGCCCCATCATCGGTGTCAGTGGGAGGAATAGTGCCCCATCATTGGTATTAGTGGCAGGAATAGTGCCCCATCATTGGTATTAGTGGGAGGAATAGTGCCCCATCATCGGTGTCAGTGGGAGGAATAGTGCCCCATCATTGGTATTAGTGGCAGAAATAGTGCCCCATCATTGGTGTCAGTGGGTGGAATAGTGCCCCATCATTGGTATTAGTGGGAGGAATAGTGCCCCATCATCGGTGTCAGTGGGAGGAATAGTGCCCCATCATTGGCATTAGTGGCAGGAATAGTGCCCCCATCATTAGTGCCCCATCAGTGGGAGGAATAGTGCCCTATCATTAGTATTAGTGGGGGGAATAGTGCCCCATCATTGGTATCAGTGGGAGGAATAGTGCCCTATCATTGGTATCAGTGGGAGGAACAGTGCCCCATCATTGGTATCAGTGGCAGGAATAGTGCCCCATCATTGGTATCAGTGGCAGGAATAGTACCCCATCATTGGTGTCAGTGGGAGGAATGGTGTCCCATCATTGGTGTCAGTGGGGGGTGGAATAGTGCCCCATCATTGGTGTCAGTGGGGGGTGGAATAGTGCCCCATCATTGGTGTCAGTGGGGGGGGGAATAGTGCCCCATCGTTGGTGTCAGTGGGGGGAGGAATAGTGCCCCATCATTGGTGTCAGTGGGAGGAATAGTGCTCCATCATTGGTATCAGTGACACCAATGATGGGGCACTATTCCTTCCACTGACACCAATTACACTTGCTGACCCTGTTCTAGTATGGTGCTGCTGCAGCCAGCATATGTGGTTGCAGAAGCACCTCTACCCTGAACACTTACCTGCTGCTCCTGCACTCGATTTTCGCGGGGCCGCTCGGCTCCATCCCCTCGCCGGTGATTGGCCGCCTGTGTGCCTTTCCTGAGCTATAGTTCTGGCTGCCAATCACTGGTGAGGAGGCGGAGCCGAGCAGCCGCGCAAACATCCAGTGGCCGAACTGAAGGAGCAGCCGCGCTTCCAGGACCGGATCGTCGTGGGACCGGAGCCAGGTAAGAAACAGCCCCTGCCCACCCCTGTACTTAGTGTCCCTTCCGTTGGAAGGGGGGGGGGCAGCGGTGGCACCGCCCCCCTAAAAAGTGTCAGTATGCCGTATACCGGCGTATAAGACGACCCCCGACTTTTGAGCAGATTTTCAAGGGGTAAAAAGTCGTCTTATACGCCGGAAAATACGGTATATTGACGCAATGATGTTGGTATAATAGAAGTGTTGTAGTTATTGGAACATTTCTTTGGTAACTAACTTTTTAGTGAATATTTGATCTTTGATCTTTTCCACTTTTATGGAGTTTTACACAATTAAGCAAAGCACTTCAGTACAAGGGTTATATTTTCTTTTAATGTGATCATAACGGGCTTTGACAAAAGGACTTAGGCCCCTTTCACACGGGGTGAACCCGTCTGCTGAGCAAGTGGATGACAGGTCCGTGTCCGCTCCGCCTATGCAGAGCGGACACGGACACCGCCCGCTGTCCTCTATCGGCGGTCAGATGTAAACAGACCATCTGTCCTCTTCCATCTGACTGCCATCCGACCTGATCCAACGGACACTAGGGGATACCCATCCATCTCTTTTTTGGCTGATTAGATTGGATCAGGGGCGGACTGATAACTCATGGGGCCCCCGGGGCAATAGGGGATCATGAGGCCCCTCTGTCTTTGCCCAAACTCATAAAAGCATATGAAAAAGATACCAGGGGCATCACATGGGGCCCCCTACTGACCCTGGGCCCTCGGGCAGCGCCCGAGTTTCCAAATGGTCAGTCCACCCCTGGATCGGATTGAATGTCAGGGGATGTAAACGGACACATGTCCGTTTACACCCGCCGCTCAATAAAGGTGAATAGAGGTTCTGATCGGGTCTGCTGGAGAAATGGGCAGGCAGACCTGATCGGAAACCCGGTTGTAAACCCTCACATATACCCAGTGAAGTGACTGGCCCCAGATGATACACAAATATGAACCAAACCCTCCTACATAAGTTGGACCTTCAGTCTTCTCTAAGTCTGTTCAACGTGCTAAATTTAAAAAGCTTGTGTTAGAGTTCAGAAAAAAGGGGGTGGAGAGCTGTAATTACACTCTGTGGAGCTCAGTGATGAGAGCTCTGAGAGTTGATTGGAGGCAAGGGTGGACTGACCATTTGGAAACTTGGGCACTGCTCGAGGGCCTGGGGTCAGTAGGGGCCCCATGAGATGCCCCTGGTATCTTTTTCATAGGCTTTTTTGAGTTTGGGCAAGGACACAGGGGCCCCATGATCCCCTATTGCCCGGGGGCCCCATGAGTTGTCAGTCCGCCCCTGATTGGAGGCAAGAGACAAACGCCCCCCCCTCCCCTCCACACGGCACACAGGAACAGAGCTGAAGCTGTCTGTCTGCTGGAGGTCCATCCCCTGTCACCATTTTTCTCTTGGTGTCAGGAAAACTTATCAGAAGTGACTTATGCTGATAGCAGAGGAATGAAACAGCAGACAAAAATGACACGTAGTGCTCTGAATTGAAACAAGTACACACTATAGAGGGAAATGCTCTGTTCATATTTCATGCCTGAGGTTAATTCTGGAACTTGGAACTTACCACTGTTATCCACAGGTTTATATTGCTATTGCTTTCACAGTTCCAAAAGTCCGTATATTCCAAGCAGGGGCGGACTGACAACTCATGGGGCCCCCGGGCAATAGGAGATCATGGGGCCCCTGTGTCCTTGCCCAAACTCAAAAAAGCCTATGAAAAAGTTACCAGGGGCATCTCATGGGACCCCATACTGACCCAGGGCCCTCGGGCAGTGCCCAAGTTTCCAAATGGTCAGTCCGCCCCTGATTCCAAGTGAACCTTAGTGCAGAATATTTAAAATATATTGCTATAGTATGACACCAAAGTGCAGGTATTGAAAAAGTAGAGAAAATAAAATGTTTACAATTAAACAAACCCCAAACTAAATGCACGTTTGCCTGGCACAGAGAAGACCAGAGATCCTAGTGAGGACATATCATTTATTTGGTTGTCTACAGACACAGGAAATACATAATTTACAGCTGATCTAATGGCTTAGCACCAGATAATAAGGCAGCTGCCTTGCCTTCTCTGGTTCCACTAAACGAGACGGAGCACAAAGGCAAGATCATGTAATCCAGAGCCTTGAAATGTTGGCAGGGAACCAATTGTACCTCGGAAGGCCCATCGACTGGCAGGCATGTCACGGTTTATGTGACTTTTACTGCGCACTCGTTTTAGTTCTACAAACTTCTGCGGTTTTCGGGATTAGGGCGGGATAAAAACATTGCCAGACGAAATACATTTCCCATCAGATTAGGAGATAGCACAGTGTTTAGATCATGTATTAGCAGTTTGCTGCTTTGGATTGTGTTTTGTTCACAACTAATAATACAGGCTTGAATAAAGGTTTAGAAAACATAATCATGATATTTATACTGAAGAAATAAAAGAGCAATTCTAGACAACCAGTAAAAAGTGGTTGTAAACCCTTTCATGTACCCAGGGCCCCGTACAGTCAACCTGCCAGGGCCCACTTCCTGCCCCCCCCCCCAATAAAAAACAGTTTACTATGCTTCAGTTATGCATGAACACAGTGAGTGATTGGCACCAGGGGCGGACTGACAACTCATGGGCCCCCGGGGCAATAGGGGATCATGGGGCCCTGTGTCCTTGCCCAAACTCAAAAAAGCCTATGAAAAAGGTACCAGGGGCATCTCATGGGGCCCCTACTGACCCCGGGCCCTCGGGCAGTGCCCGAGTTTCCAAATGGTCAGTCCACCCCTGATTGGCCCCTCATTGTGTCAGGAAAGGAAGGGGCTGGTAAATGTGACATTTTTACAGGACCCTGCTCCCGGTCTCCATCCTGAAGGATCCTATTGTGTGCTTGCAGCTGCTGCTAGGAAGCAGAGGAGGGAGGCAGTGGCACTGCGGGGTGTGGGGGCCTGGGCAGCAGGGGGAAATGTATGGTAAACAGGGATGGTCATGGGAGCAGCGGGGGGCAATTACTGGAACCGGTCCTCCGTATGGCTCACTCTGCAACAGCTGAAGGCCAGCAGGAGGTAAAGGAGAAGAAGCCAACCTTTAGCTGCTGCAGAGAGAGCCATACAGGAGATCGGTTCCAGTAATTGTCAACCCCCCCCCCCCCCACAATGAGCTGATCATCCTCCCTGTCCACATACAATTAACCTAACTGCCTGGGCCCACCTGCTGGCCTGGGCCCCGTACAAGAGGACTGGTGGTACCCCCTTATCCACGGCCCTGCATATACCCAGTGACATGATTGGCCTCAGGTGATACACAGAGATTAACCAAATCCTTCTACATACGTTGTACCTATTAATCTGCTGTCTACTCTTCTCTACATCCATTCAAAGTGCTGAATTTTTAAGGAGTTCAGAAACAAGGGGGCGGAGAGCTGAAATTACACACTGCAGAGCTCAGTGAGGATAACTGATTGGAGGAAAGAGACATACCCTCTTCACACAGCACAGGAACAGAGCTGAGGCTGTCAATCTGCTGGAGATCCCTCTCCTGACACCATTTTTCTCTTGGTGTCAGGAAAACTTGACGACAGTGATTTATGCTGTTAGCAGAGCAATGAAGCAGCAGAAATGATACTTAGTGCTCTTAATTGAGATAAGTACACACTATAGAAGGATATGCTTTGTTCATACTTCATGTGTAACACCCTGCTAATAGGATGCAGAATGATAAATCGAACACAAGATGGCAGTGTCCTGCAGAGCAGTGGCATTCACGCTCTGTATAGCAGCCCCATGGAACTTGTATGCTGAATCGCTGGACTTTGTTAAGGAGCAGAGCAGAAAACAACCACATTTCCCAGAGGGGCTGGCGTGAGGGTAAGAGATGAGACAGGAAGTGAGAGGGGAGAGATCTTGAGAGAGGAGTGCACTGATTGTGGGAGGACTGAACCAGGCCATGGAAAGGGAGAAAGAGGAGAGCAGTCTACTGAGCGCTGACCTTGCCGCATCATGGAGAAAGTTAATGTGCTAGCAGGTGACCTGACCGAGTGCTGCAGGCGGGACCAGAGAGTGTGGGGCGGCCTTGTCGTAAGAGGGAGAGAGAGACCCCCAGAGTTCACCAGACGCCATCCCCCGGTTGAGAGAGTCCCAAGCATTAACAAGGACAGGGAACACTGACACCTGCTCTACCTTTGCTACTTTCCTGCACATAGTTGCGGACATTGCACATAGTTATTAGACGTTGCGGCCTAGTTCCTTTAGCCGCCATTGTATGACTACACATAGCACAGCCTTGCTGCTGATCACAGGACAGTTGGTCCACAGGCCGAAGTACCGCTATGTCACCATCATCATCAATTCACTTTCCTAAGGAGGCCTTTTCCCTATTGTGCCAAAAGTCACAGCCCTAGAACTATGCATGCCTTAATTAAAGTGATTGTAACCCCTCCCCTTGTAAAACAACCCATTCAGTTTAAAATAGAAACAAAAAGGTAAAACATTTGTGTATACGTATAAAAAACACTATAAATACCTTTTTTCCCCTTTTTTATAGTGATCACATGCCCTCTGTTCTCAGCTACATAAGAGCTGAGGAGGAGGAATAGCAGTACACTGAACTTCCCCGTGAATGGCTGTGTAGGGAGGGCGGGGGGCGGGGTCAGGACAAGTCTGATCATTGGAGGAGAGCAGGCTGAGTTCCCAGCACAGATAGAAGACTTGCCACACTGTGCTCTCATGCCTGGTCAGTTTTTAAGGAAAGCAGAGGAACTGGCAGGAACACCAGGGAATTCACACAAAGGAAGTATTGCAGAGAACAGAATACTTTTTCATACAAGTACATGGTACAGCAGGCACATATCAGGAATATGAAATGTTGGGTTTACATATTATCTATTGCTAGGATCGTGACTGGCCCAATACAAATACACAAAGCATTTTATTCCTATATTAAAGGGGATATAAATAGAAAAGCATGTCAGGCCATAAAATAATATACACAAGAAGAAAAATAAAGTTAAAAATAAATTCTTATCTATATAAAAAATGTTGGATACGTTTTTGATATATGTTTGAACATACTGTATAATGTGTATATAAATACAAAATGCAGTTTTTAACCCCTTGGCGCCTCGTGCCTTCTGGCCCTTTAAGGGTTCAGAAGCGGGGTTTAGGGTCATGTGACCGCTGTAACACGCCGTCACGGCGATCACATGATTGGGAAAGGTCCCGATCAGGGTGGACTGACAATTCATGGGCCCCCGGGCAATAGGGGATCATGGGGCCCCTGTGTCCTTGCCCAAACTCAAAAAAGCTTATGAAAAAGGTACCAGGGGCATCTCATGGGGCCCCCTACTGACCCTGGGCCCTCGGGCAGTGCCCGAGTTTCCAAATGGTCAGTCCGCCCCTGGTCCTGATCGAAAGAGGAGATCGGGACCTTTCCGTGAGTACCGGACACAGTGCACGCGCTCTCAGCACATATGTTTTCTTTTAATAGGACGCAAATGTGTGGCCGCTCGGCATCTAGGCCCAGATACCGGGAGGCCGCATATTTGCGTTCGGTGAGCCGGCTCCAAGAAGTTAAACGATGATGATTTCATTTATTAAGGGAAAAAAGCTGTCCAAACCTTCCTGACCCTGTGCAAAAAAGTAATTGCCCCCCCAAACCTAATAACTGGTTGTGTCAACCTTAGCGGCAACAACAGCAATGAAGCATTTGCGATAACTGACAGTGAGTCTTTCACATCGCTGCGGAGGAATTTTGGCCCACTCTTCTTTGCAGGATTGTTTTCATACTGCATCTCAATCGTATTTAAGCCTGGACTTTGACTAGGTCACTCCAAAACCTTATTTTGTTTTTTGGGAGCCATCCAGAGGTAGACTTGTTGGGTGTGTTTCGGATCATTGTCCTGCTGCATAACCAAAGTGCACTTCAACTTGAGGTCACAAACTGATGGCCGGACATTCTCCTTCAAGATGTTCTGATAGAGCACAGAATTCATGGTTCTATCAATTACGGCAAGTCGTCCAGGTCCTGAAGCTGCAAAGCAGCCCCAGACCCTCACACTACCACCACCATGTTTGACTGTTGGTATGATGTTCTTTTTATGAAATGTCTTAATTTTATGCCAGATGTAACAAGAAGCACACCAGGTCTAGATCTAACCAGTCTGATCTGGGGTGCAGTGGAAAAAAGAAAGGGGCTTGCTTTCCAAAATAAAAAAAATAAACATAATGAACTGCTAACATAATTTAACACCTCTGCATCCCTGGCCACAAATCACTTCTGCACGCCCTGCCATAGTTCACCTCTGCATCCCTGGCCACATCTCAACTCTGCATCCCTGGCCACAACTCACCTCTGCGTGTCCTGTCACCTTTGCATCCCAGTCCATCCAAAGTTCCTACTTGGCAACCTGCCCTCACCCATCCACAGTTCTCAACTCTGCACCAAGCCCCCCCCCCTCCCCCTTCATTCAAAGCTTTCACTTCTGTACCTAGTCCCCATCTATCTATACAGTAGCTCTAATCTCTGCAACCAACAGTTTCCCTTTCCTCCTATACACACTTCTTCCTCCTGTGTCCGGCCACTCATCCACAATGCTCACCTTTGGTCATTGCACACTCTAGTTCACTGACCATCCTCCTCCTTACAGGAGCCAACACGGATCTAGTAGGCAGTGGTCAGTGTGGGATTTTTTTTTTTAAACAAGCAGCCAGGGGCGGACTGACCATTTGGAAACTCGGGCACTGCCCGAGGGCTCGGGGTCAGTAGGGGGACCATAAGAAGCCCATGGTACCTTTTTCATAGGCTTTTTTGAGTTTGGGCAAGGACACAGGGGGCCCATGATCCCTATTGCCCGGGGGTCAGTAGGGGGCC